AAAAGGTTGTCAACACATGTTATTGCCTGAAGAGTATAACCTTTTAAAAATCTCTAAATTAGAGAGAGAGAGAGATTTAAGAAAATCAAAGGTTCCTAAGAAGAGGTCTAAAAAAAAAGAGGCGCCTATAGAAAAGCCCCAAAATAAGCACTTAACAAGAATTGCCCACAAGAAAAAAAAATGGAGTTATAGAGTCGATATATAAAATATATGAAAATGGAACAAGAATAGTTAGAATAAAAACTAAAATGACATAAACATCATGTGAAAGTGTAGACTTAAATGTGAAGCAGCAATGATAATGCCATTACTCAATATTATTTCATAATTAATGAATAGATCAAATGAGAAACTAATACTAGAGAAAAGGGTAAGAGTTCCTATGTGCATATGAGCAATCACGTCCAAAGAAATATGTAAAAAATACAACATTGAGCTAATGAACTTCAAAAAATAAAAGAAAATAGTTTATTGAGATCTCATTAATGGAATCAGCATTTATTCAATAATGTGCTGGATAAAAAAATTAAGATATGCAGAGAAATTTAATAAAATGGAGAAAAATTAATGTTATTGTTCAAGTAACCAACTTGCTCACTAGACATGCTAGAAACACAAGCATCACAAGGATTTCTCCATACTAAATAGCCAAATGGGAAAGCTTAATAACAGTCGTACTGCTATTTCACAGGAATAATAAAACAAGGGAATAAAATAGCCAATCTTAATGCTTATAACACGAAACAAACAAACTAGGCCAAAATGCTGCAACTCGGACACCCGAGTTTATGTTTTTTATGATAACAAATATTATTGACTACCTCTTTATTTCTCTTAGTATTTGTAGTGCATATTTGTTTTTGTTTTTACTAACATTTTAAGTACATCATGCACCACTCAATGAAGATTCAGGGCTCAAGATTGGGAGAATAAGATGTGTTCAAAGAGACAGTAATATTCATTTATATTAATTTTGGGGGTCGAGGTTTCTCAAAAAAGCAACCACCTAAGGTTAATTACATCCTCAGTGAGCCCAAGAACCCTCTTGATTATAGAATTAATGCTCATGCTCAAATTGAATAGAAGATATTTATGTTTAATGAGGTGAAAGCCAAAATTATTGAACTATTAGGAAATGAGAACTAACCTACCAGGTAGGTATATCCTCGTCAAGATCTCATGGTTTCGTTGTCACGAATTCATCGGTTTCCTTAGTCTACTTAGGAGCTGTTTGGTTGCCTGCAAAGTAAACGTAATGTAAAGTAAATGCAGTGTAAAGTAAATGTAGTGCATTCCAAATACATTGAGGTTGTTTGGTTGTCTGCAAAGTAAACGCAGGAGAAATATTTCCCTTGTTTGGTTAGATATATCTAGAGTAAATTAAAAGCATAATAGGTAACAAACTTATAGTTTTGAGATTTAATAAAATTCAAGCAAAGAAGAAGAGCTCTGAGTTCGAGATCATTAATCTTTGGATGCTTAAGCTTAGATCAACAGCAACAGAGCTCCTTCTAAAAGAGGACTGGAACAAATACATCAATCTCTACTCCCGCTTCATCTCCCGCCGTCATTTCCCCCAAACTTCACCAAACGACGACGACGATGACTCCATTAATCTCCTACGAACTCTCTGCTTCTCTCTCTCCAACCGCGCCGAAGCCTACTTCAAGCTACGAGACCTCAGTGCCGTGCTAATTGACTACGACCACGCGCTTAAGCTTAATCCTTTCCATCTTAAGTCCCTCGTTTGCAAGGGGAAGGTCCTCCTTGACCTCCAATGTTACTCACAAGCCTTTGAATGCTTCCATCGTGCCAAGGCCCTTGCTTTAACAGACAGTGCCATATCCCACCTCTTAAAACAGTCGCAGAAGCTCGATTCCCAGTCTAAGACGGGCTTTATTGATCTCTCTGATTGGGTTCTTAACGAATTCAACGGCACTTGTCCTAAGCTCACCGAGTTTGTCGGCAATGTCAAGATACGCCGGTCGAAGGCCTACAGCGGAAGAGGGCTTTTCGCCACAAGGAACATCGAGGCCAGTACACCTCTCATTATAACGAAAGCTGTCGTATTGGGAAGAGGCATTATGCCAAAAGCCGCTGGTGAGCCCAAGTTGGCCAATGAATTACCTGCTCATGCTCTGGCTACCCGGCGCCGCCAGACGTGGCAGTTGAGGCAGAGATTCCAGAGCAGGATTTTACTGAAGAGCCATCTTCGAGACCGAGGAGGCAGTTGACGAAGGAAGAGTCTGAGGACGATCGCGAAGGATTTCTAACTCGCTCAATTTGAGCGGGTTTCAAAGTCACGCGAAATGAACTATGCAATACACCGCGAAACCTTCGGAGGAATTTCTAATTCTCTTCTCAAAACCAACCAAACTGTATAATTTATCAAATGCGTGTAATTAAAATACTTTACACTCCTAATTCATCATACCAAACAGCCCCTTAGTCAAATGATGACTAGAGAATCCCTGCCAACAACCATAGGACCTCAACCAAGGGTACCTCATAGACCAAGGGTGTGGACTAGGCTAGCAAACTGGAATTACACTCCACTGTTATATAAGGTAGTAACCCATACTGAACTTATAGTACCACGTGGTGGTACCTACTGAGGCTGATAAGGCTAACTAGGCTTTTGGGCTCATGGGAAGGAAAGAATGTATTGTATCCATGTGGCGGAGGAAACACCCAGAATAAGGCTTATAACTCAACCATGTGTGACCTAGAATGTCCAAATATTTTAAAAAATCCCATCATTGTTGTAGAAGAGATGAGACAGATACAGACATCTCAATGTGCTAGAGAAAATGTCAAAATGAGTGGAATCTTCATTATCTCCTCAGTGTGGCAGAGGAGGCATCCAAAGTATGGGACTTATAGGTCAAACTATGTGATTGAACAAGCTCGGATGTCTCTTCAATTTGGTAGAGGAGATGTCAAAATGAGACTTGCAACTTACTTAGGTGGCAACCAAGAAAGCCCTAATGTCTACTAAATATGCTAGAGAAGACATCAAAGGAGTAACATAAACTTTAAGAGTCACCTCAATGTTGTAGAAATGGCTGAGGTGATGTGAAATGATGCAAAATCATGAGACTTACAGCTTGATAGTTATACTATCAAGTAACCACGGGAATCTTCTCAATATGGTAGAGAAGACATCTTGATCTCGTGTAACCAAGAAGGCCCAAACTAAATTTTCAATGTGATAGAGAAAATAGTAGCCTTGCCATCCTACTTGGGTTAGAAATGCCAATCGATTCAACTAGTTGTATGTGAAAAGACAAAATGCATCATTTCTAAGGAGGAAATAGATTTGTTCTAGACTAACTAGATGAAAAATAGTGCCTAAGTGTATGTATAGTGAAATTATGTCTAGGATGTCTACCCTAAGATGTCAGTCCTAAACTACATGTAGAATCGCGAAGGGTATAGCATGCTAGAAATCACCAAAGGGTAATAGGGTGACCAATGTAGGGTGTCTGCTAGAATTATAAATGAGGCGGGACCCTATATTTTAAATTATCCTAGATAACAAGTGAGTGTGACTCGACACTACAAAAAATAATCAACGAAGTGTGAGGTGTCACCAAATTGGTATTGTCACATAACTAACCTAGTTTCAAACAGTAATGATTATTTATTAAATAGTGTGAATCCTAATTATTATATTTTTATAGTTTGCTAGCATGCGGTTCTCTGAATAAATATTTTGGTATTTTCCAAGAAAATTGTCAAACCAATTAGCATTTTCTATAAATATAAATTTTATTAATATCCTAACCGTTACGTGCATGTGATCAAATGGAAAGTTTTTAGTTATTATATTATGCGGCCCAAGTTCGAATCACAGCTAGACAGGTGTAATATTAAATATAATTTTTTAAAGTTTAAATTTTAAATTTAATAATGATAAAAAATAATAATATACTTTTTAATAAAGTATTTTTATCAAACTGAATAAATATATAAATTATTATATTTATTATAAAAATCTTAATAAATATATGATATTATATTTCTTAAATATATGATATTTATTTATTGTCAAGATTTTTCTCTTAGAGAAAGGCTTCTTAGAAAGAGAACTTTTTTGTGAGATAGACTTTCATGACAGAGAGAGTTGCATAATTGCTTAAAAGAGGAAGAGAGGCTTTAATGAGAGAGAGAGAGAGAGAGAGAGAGAGAGAGTCTTCGGGAAAAAAAAATAGAGAGGATGCTAGAGAATGACTTTTAGAAAGGAGGCTTTTAAAAAAGAAAGAGGGAGAACTCTAAGAAAGACAGTGAGAGGGAGGCTTAAGGAAATAGATAAACTCTAAATGTGAAAGTGTGAGGGAGAGAGGGGCTCTAAGAGAGAGAAAATTAGGCTTTTAAAAAGATTTAGCCTTACAAGATAGAGAGAGATAAAGAGGAAAAGAGAGACATTTAAGGATGAGAGTTCTGTTATAGAGAGATTTTTAAGAGAGAGAGAGTGGGGGGGGGGCTGCTCATAGAAATGTTTATAAGAGAGGATTTTAAGAGAAATGCATCTAGGAGAGGATTTGAGGCTTCTAAGAATGTAGTTGCTACTATAGACAAATAGAGCTTATAAAAGAGAGACAAAAAAGAGAGATTACAAGAGAGAGCAAGCCTTTTAGGAGAATGTGAGACCTGTAAGTGTGTGAGTGAGAGAGAGGCTTTTTATGAGATATATAGAAACTCCTAAGAGAGAAACAACTAAGAGGGAGAGGCTTCAAAACGAGAGATGTATGTGCTTCTAAAAGAGAAAGAAAGGCTTTCAAGAGAGAAAGATGAGCTTATAGGAAAGAATTTCTATGAAAAGAAATTATGCAAGAAGCTTCTAAAATCAAAAAAGAGACTTTTGGGAGAAAGAGATGTTTCAATGAAAGTGAAAGGCTTCTAAGATTGAGAGAAGCTTTTAAGAAAGAAAGAGGCTCTAATAGAGAGATTTTTAAGAGAAAGTGCTTTACAAGAGCAACAAGACTATTCGGGAGAATGAGATAGATAATAACTTTTAAGATGGATGGAGATGCTTTTAAAAGAGAGAGATAGAAAATTAGATTGAGAGGATTCAGAAAGAGAGAGATAGAAAATGAGATCTAGAGAAAGGGGTTATGGAAAGAGGGAAAAGATGTACAAAGGGCTTATAAGAGGGAGAGAATGGGAGATATGTTTCTAAGAGGGACAGGGACTTCTGAAAGAGTGAACGTATAGAGGGCTTATAAGAGGGAGAGAATGGGAGTGATGTTTCTAAAAGGGACAGAGACTTCTGAAAGAGTGAACGTATATAAGATAAGCTTACAAGAAAGGAGAGAGTTAAAGATGCTTTTAAGACAGAGAGAGAGGCATTTAAAAGATAGATGGGTTTATATAAAAAAGAAAGATGAGGACTTCAAAGAGAGAGATTCTTTGAAGAGAGGGAGGGGCTTCTTTGAGAGAAAGGCTTCCAAGTGAGAAAAGCTTCATAAATGAGGACGTCTCTTAAAGAGATAAAGAGGCTTATAAGAGACAGAGAAACCTTCTATATAGTAATAGAGCCCTTTAGGATGAAGAGAGGTGGGTTTATGAGAGAGAGAAAAAGGCTTCTAAGAGAGAGAAAGAGGAATTTGGAAGATAAGATAGAGAGAGTTTGAGAAAGAGAGGAAATTATGAAATAAAGCCTAATAAGATGAAGAGAGAGATTTCTTAGATGTTCAGAAAGAGAAATTGAAAAGGAGGCATGGAAGATAACGTGAGAAAGAAGAAGAGAGAAACTACATAGAGTTAGTTATGAGACAATATTCAAAATAAGATAGAGATAGAGAGAGTTTGACAAAGAGAGGAAATTATGAAAGAAAGCCTAATAAGATGAAGAGAGAGATTTCTTAGATGATCAGAAAGAGAAATTGAAAAGGAGGCATGGAAGATAACGTGAGAAAGCAGAAGAGAGAAACTTCATAGAGTTTGTTATGAGACAAGATTCAAAATAAGATGGATGATATTTAGAAAAAGAGTAGTTTGTAAGGAAGATAACTTAATAGAGAGACATTTATTAAAGACAAAGATTGTTTTTTAGAGAGAAAGAGATAGAGGCTTCTATGTTACTTAAAATCTTATAACAAAGATAATGTCTACAAAAAGAGATAAAAGGACAGCCTCTAAGAGAGAGGAGTCTTCAAGGAAAGAAGCTTAATAGAGAGATTGAAAGGATTCCAAGCAAGAGAAAGAAGTGCTTTTAGGAGAAATGCTTCTAAGAAAGTCATATGGATACATACCACAATAGTCAAAATCTTAACAGCTCCATCTATAGCATCTTTCACACTTGCATACCCCTTGATAAATCAAACATTCCATCAAGATTCTTTGTATGACTAGTGAAAAATCCTAAGGAAAGTAAGAATCCGAAACTAAAGGAAGAAAAAACTGAATTTAACTAGGATGGTACCACAAAGGGCATTGTTGACCACTAACACATCTAGTCCTAAGGAAAGAAAGAATCCTAACATAAATGAAAAGAAAATTAAAATAAACTAGTATGGTGCCACGAAGGGCATTGTACACGACTAACAAATCTAATCCTATGGAAAAGAAGAATTCAAACATAAAGGAAAAGAAAATTGAATTAAAATAGGATGGAACCACGAAGGGCATTGTCCACCACTAGCATGTTTAGTCCTAAGGAAAGGAATAATCCTAACTTAAGGGAAAATAAAATTGAATTAAACTAGGATGGTGCCACAAAGGGCGTTATCCACCACACGTACATCTAATCTTATGGAAAGGAAGAATCCTAACCTAATGGAAAAGAAGCTAGATTAAAATAAGGATGATGCCACGAAGGGCATTATCCTCCACTAGCACTTTTAATACTAAGAAAAGATAAAATCCTAAACTATAAGAAAAAAAAATTGGATTAAACAAGTATGGTGTCATGAAGTGCGTTATCCACCACTAGCACGTCTAGTCCTACAGACAGGAAGAATCCTAACAAAAAGGAAAATAAAACATGATAAAACTAGGATGGGGTCATGAAGGGCGTTATCCACCACTATCACGTCATATCCTAAGAAAAGGAATAATCCCAAAATAAAGGAAAAGAAATTTGGATTAAAATAAGATAGTGCCACGAAGGGTGTTGTCCACTATAAGCGCGTCTAATCCTAAGGAAAGGAAAAATCATAACCTAAAGAAAAATTAAACTAGATTAAACTACAATAGTGTCTACCCCTAGCATGTCTAATCCTACGGAAAG